AGGATGTGCTCCACTCTCTCCTCCTCCCCCTTCATCTGCTCCTGTGTGCTCAGATCAGATATGTCCCTCTCCCGGAGCTGCAGATTCAATGCCATGCTTTGAAATAAATTCTTCAGGGGAAGGGGCAGGTGTCCACGTAGTAGTTGGGATTGAGGCCCTAGTAATGTTTTATCATTTGGCCCCAAATGTCTTCTTTTGGGTGAAACGCAATGCATATTACGGAGCATTGCTTTATACTTCGCGGGAAATCAAATATTCTTGTATATATTTATGTACATGGCAACTATTAGAACAAAGAGCCTGTCTTGTATGCACTGGTATCATGGTGGCTATCAATAAGTGCTTGGCTTATTGATCAATAAGTGCTTGGCTTATTGATACTTGACATATGATTTATGATTGATACTTAACATGAATTCTGGAATCAAAAAATAGATGTTAGTGTTTAGAAAATGATGATGGCAACATATGCACAAATATACTTGATAAAATTGATGTATAGGATAAGAACTGTAAGAGCCCCCAATAAAATGATTTTAAAAAAAGAATAGATGTTTGGAGATCACTTATTATGTGATACTAAGGATTTAACATAGACAATTTCTGGTGCAGTGGAGCTTAACTCTATGGGGGAAATTGACTTTAAAAAAGCAATATGGTACTCATTACATAGTGATAAATGCTACCCGGAAAAATATGCCTAATAGATGAGTCACTAGACTGGATTTGTGTCTTTCTGGGGGAGTGCAGTCAATTACTAAGTCCAGGGACCAGCCACGCTGAGCAGAAGGAAGGCCCGAGTGTCTGGGAGTCCTCTTTGAGAGCCTCTCCAAATGTGGGGGAGACTTACCCTGGAATGCTCATTCCATACTAATGCAGACTAGGACAGCCAGGGGATACGCGGTATGCTTGTTGAATGGTGGTGGTGGTGTATGAGTGTGTGTGTGTGTGTGTGTGTGTGTGTCTAGAGGAATGGAAAGTGACACGTTTTGGGCATTATGAGAGATTAATCTCTCCTAAAACCAGCAATACAGTTGTTTTCTGGGGGCTAGAAAGGTCACTGCTTCTCGGGCTTCTAATGCGTTCTTGAAAGGTGATCCTATGGGAGTCCTCAGGTCCTTTCTCTGGGTTTCAGGGAGACTGTTCGCGACACCATCCTGGAGAAATTTGCCGGGCCCTATGACAAAGGAGAATACTCGCCCTCTGTCCAGAAGACCCTTTATGAGATCCAGGTGCTCTCCCTGAGCCGGGTGCCCCAGGTACATTTTGTCACTTGGCCATTCTGTGTTTCTAGGCAGCTCCGAGAGAGTTGAGAGATAAAATAGGAACTTGTATGACATAGGAAAAACAACATCTATTATTGTCCAGAAGCTTGTTATAGTAAGTGAGAAATGAACAGAAAATGGAAAAATCTGTCCAGCTTAACAGCACAGGCTACTGCTGGGGCACTTCAGTTTTGTTGAGAATTCTCAGTCTTCAACCTGCCGCTGACTGAGATCTCATATTCAGGACACCCGAATGCCTCAAAAGAGGGTCACTAAATAGAAGACCTATGGTTCTGGGGAGTCAGGGAGTAAAGGTTAGTGGAGTGCTATTACATGCACATATAGTCAATGGTTATTATATCTCTGGCAGCACTATAAGAATACAAAGATACATTAGAAACTAGCTCTACCCTGAAAGAGCTCACCATTCAGTGAACAAAGTAAACAAGCAATACACTAGAGAACAGAGTATTATCGAAATACAGAGGAGAGCATCTCACTCAGGTTTGGGGTTTGGGCCAGCCAGAGTTCCAGAACGGAGAGGTGCTTGGTTCGAGACTTTAGGGTTAAGTCGGGCTTATCTGGGCTCACATTTTGAGGTGGCAGCAGGAGGCGTTAGGGAGACATGCGACCGCAGGATATACTTATTTACTGCTGCCCTTGTTGACTATATCAGAAGCTCCAGAAGCGGAAGTCCTTCCACGTGCCTAGAGATTGCCTAGAAGCCCTGGTGGTATAAGGGGTTACGGGTTGGGCTGCTAACTGCAAGGCCAAGAGTTCAAACTTACCAGCTCCTCCCCGGGAGAAAGATGAAGCTGTCTGCTCTCATCAAAATGTACAGTCCCAGAAGCCCTTGGCAACAGTTCCAACTCTGTCCTATAGGGTCGCTGTGAGTCAGAATTGACTCGATGGCCCTACAGGAGAGACGAGAGCAAACCCAGATCAGGAAAGGCTGCTCTAGGCTTAGCTAGGGAGTCGGGACTTTATCCCGAGAGCTCCTAAAGTACAGGTAGGTCATGGCACGGTCAGATGTGATATGGTCGAGAGAGATCACTCTAGAGTCTGGAGAGATTACTCTAAAAGGAGTACGAGGAATTAAAGGCTGGCCTATCATGGGGAAGGAGGCTGGTTGGGAGGTGATTGTAGAAATGTGGCAAGGAGGGCTTGAGCTCAGGCAATGTTGGGGTGCAGAGCAGGAGTGCTCCTCTGGGGCAAGAGTGCCTCTTGCCTTGGTCCTTACATTAGAGAACCCCTCCAGGCCCCCTCAGACCAGGCCTCTCTCCAGTGGGCAGGGCTAAGCAAACAACCTCTCCCTTCTAGATTACTCTACCCATACCTAGGCCTCCAGAAAACCCCACCCAAATAGCTGAGCTTCCTGCTGAGCTTTCAAAGGTGTCTGTCCCAGACGCCCCTCCAGAGAGCAGAGAGTGCTATTGGTTTACACATCCCTGGGTTTGAGGACTGTCAGAGGGACAGCAATTTGTCAGAAGTATGGGTAGAACTTGAGTCCAAGAGAGAAAGTGCAGGAAGCTGGCCCTTCCCACGCTGCCGTATCTCGGATGGCGCTCCACGGAGTCAGAGGATTTTACATTGAACCTGATCATCCAGGTTATCATAAAGGTACATGTATAAAGTTAACAGGGTAGAACACGTTTTTCTTTGACAAGTTTGTTAGTCTGATGATTACTTTTAAATATTTAGCCAATGTATAAGTGGGCCTGCAATTATAGTCTGACCTCAGAACGCTGGGTGGGGCAGGCCCAGAGAAGAGGGGGTGGACTTAAAAAGAAGTTGGGAGGTTGATTTGCCAGCATATGGAGACCAGTTGGATTTCTAAGGGTCTCTCAGGTTTGTGACCTAAGGAATCCTTACTTTCAAGAGAGCGGGTTTTATATACTGAGAAGAGGAGAATGAGCCCAACCTCTACTAGTAGGTGATTAGGACAGAAGAAGTAGGGTTAACAAACGAGGCAGAAGAGGTTGCCTCAGAAGCCGAGGTGGATTTTGAGGACGATGTGTGTGTGAGGGGGACGGAGAGTGATGGGTGGTGATGGAGCGACACACGGTTGCCCCATGTGAGACGTATTACTGTGCCTTCCAGATTGAAGACATGGAAATCAGCCTGCCAAACATTCACTATTTTAACATAGACATGTCCAAGATGGGACTGATCAATAAGGAAGAGGTAAGAGAAATTGTAAAACGATTCAAAGCACCCTCTGACCCTATTCCTCTTCATGAACCTGGGAGGATAATGTGACTGACTAAAACTCTGAGCAGCTGTTGGGTTGGAGAATATTTCTAGTCACCATGGATCAGAGGTCTCTCGGACCTTGGGCCCTTCCGTGCTGTGGCTAGAGGACCTTAGAAGTGGACGAGTACTTAATGGAGCCGGGTTGGGAGCTGTAGAGCAAAAGACAAAGAAAGAACAGAGTGTGCCCAAGGAAACCGCTCTGAGATCTGCCTCCTACAAAGGTGCCTGCCAAGGTCGCAGCTCCATTAGTCTTCCCTCTGGGGAGGGGAGAAAAAAATAGCTATTTTCAATTTTTCCCACCATCTCTACCTCTCTTGATTAAGTAGTCAATTCAGTCACCTACACAACACACAGAAAGATGAAAGCGTATTTGTTTCGAATTGCAATGATAGAAGGCAGGATGAGGAAGTTCACGGTTTGAAAGGAAACGTCGTCTTGGTAAAAGCACTTACCCTGGCTTGTTTTTAGCCACGGCACAAAGTTAAACTGCTTAGTGTGCCCAACTGCCACTCCCAGCCCTTTGCTAGCCAGGCGATGCTGACTCTTACCGAGTGGACAGGCTGCCTGGGGTTGCCCAGCCCGTCCTCACTAAGGAAGCTGACTGTCCTCAGTAGGTTGTTCTCGTGTGCAGTGGCTGCTCGGTTTGGACCATAACCCGTCTGCGAGCAGCCAAGCACTTAGCCCCAGCCCCACTTGCGCATCGTGGGGCAAGTTGCCCGGTTGCTGATTCTAAGCCATGGAAACTCCTTGTGCGCAGAGCACCAGTGCACAACACAGGGTTTCCGAAGCTGTGCCTTTTCCGAAGCAGATCACCTGGCCTGTGCTCCGAGGCACTCTGGTATGGGCTTCTCACCAGCGGTTCGGCCAGTCAGGCACTTAACCATTCACCCCGTCCCAGAACTCCTATTCTAAAATGACAAGGTTTCTCTATTTGACTCATGGCCCCTCCAACTTCAATAAATGAGGGTAACTTTTTACATCGTGTATGGGAGAATGAGGTAGAAAATGAGTCCTCTAGTCACTTAGCTCAGTTGCCTTAGAATCATAGTCTCTGGCCCAATGGAGGCCAAAAAGGTTCTTTCAGATGGTGCTACATCGTGGATGTGGTGACTCAGCAACCTTAGTCGTCACAACGCCTCTGCCGGGTGCCGCGGTTTTGTGCTCCGTGACAGCGGATGGACTCCACCTGGCTTTGCCTTGCCGTCCATAGCACGTCGGAGTGGGGGGCAGGGGCACATCTAGGGCATGGCAGGAGGCACTTGGTCTGGCCCCACTAGGGCAGGGAAGCCAATGAGCAGTTTCTATAGCCATTGCAGGTTCCAACGCCAGCTCCTTCGGCAAAGTTAAAATGAATTGTCGAATGGATGCTATTTTCCATAGAAATGCTTCTAATCTGGGGACAGGCAGTGTTGGAGAACAAGAGTCTTGCTTAATGACAGGTGTAGGTGATAGGGTCTTGGGTTACAGAAGAGAGAACCGGGGTCCCATGTGCTGCTCTTTCAGCTGAAAGACGGGCAGCACGGTGCACTTCAGAACATGGCAAGGCTGTTGAGTCCTGACATTTCACTGATTCAAACTGAAAGCCCCTTCTCAATCCCTACCCTCTAAAGGGCAAAAGACATACCTGAAAGAAATCCTGGCTATGTCCACCAGGAAAAGAAGCAAATCACTTGTTACCGTGATGGTGATTCCATCGCACGGTGACCCTGTGTGTGGCAGAGTAGAACTGTGCGTCCTAGGGCTGTCGGAATTCTCCAACGGTTGCCCATCAGACCTTTCCTCGGGTGTCTCAAAGTGCCAACCTTTCAGTTAGCAGTCAAGCACATCACCACTTACTCTCACCCCTCAGGGACTCCATGTCCACCAGAGGCCAAACAAATGGGCCCAAGCAGAATAAAGACCAGGTTCTATGGGTCAACTCGAGCAGTGCTCAGTTCAGGTCCCCATACAGGGTGAGGAAGGTAGCCTTGGGACCCCTGATGCCTCAGGCCCTCACTAATCCCAGCTTGGGGTGGGGGGTTAGCTAGTAGGCAGAGGCCATATCGTGCTTTCATCTCAGAAACCAGACCCTCAGCTCTCTCCTAGAGCCCAGCCAGGGCCCCCATTCCTCTGGGCCACAGCTCTGCAGAAAGGCATCTGCCAGGCCAAACTAGCTGTCTGCCTCCACTCCTGCACTTGGGGGCTGGATGGAGCCCCCCACGCCCAGCAGGTATTTCCCATGTGAAGGCAACACAAGAGAAGCAAGGACACACTGACAAGAGCTGAGACTGAGACGTGACAAATGGCAGAGTCGGAAGACAGCAGAACGCTAAGAGCACAGCTGTCTGGAGCCATTTAGCACTGAGCTAAGAGCCCTGCAGACCTCACATGCGCCTGAGGGCATGGCTGCAGCACAGCAGTGGACAATGATTGATGTGCAAAGTGAGTCATCAAGAAAAGGTCAAATTATGCACTCTCCATTGCCCTGGGAAAGCAAGAAGATGTGATGCATTTTAGAAACATTTACATCCCAATTATTAAGCATTTTTCAAAAGCTTTCATGTTCTGGTAAATCGACTCATCTCTCACGTAGAGCCAGGAAGATAAGGCATTGACATGTGTAAAGGAACTGTGAGTACAGCACGGGCCTTTTCCTGTTTAGCACGTTGTTGGTTAGACATTGATTCATAGCAAAAAGGAGGGTGTGTACTTTTATCCTTCTGAGGCTAACATGTGGTTCTTCTACAGGTCTTGCTACCTTTAGACAATCCATATGGGAAAATTACTGGTACCATCAAGAGGAAGCTGTTATCACGGCTGTGACACTGTAGCCACCAACGGGAGTCCACTCTCAGCGGAAGAAGTCTTTACTTGATGGTGGGGGGGCTACTGTGTGTCGCCATGCAGAATTTCCAGTGCAGTAGATTGAGTCACAGTGTTCATTTCCCTCCTGCATGAAATCATTTCTTTCTTCCACACCTAGTCCAGCAAGGTGTACTGTGGATTACCTGATTAGTAACTATCACATACTTACAGTGTACACAAAACAGACTGAGCAGTATTGCAACAGTTATAAAGCAATTATTCTTTTTTGGGGTTTGTTGTGCTTTCTTTTCATAGAAAAGTCTTAGAATCAATTCGGCAAACAATCAAGAATCAATGGAGATGTCATGCCAATTAATTTGGGCATGACATTCTGGTTCTAATCATGCTAAATTATTGCTTCTGGGTAACATAGAAAATGTAATGACAAAATCATGCTGAAGGATATCAACCCTGTAACCTTAATTTGACTGAATATTTGAATTTTTAAGAATTCTTTTGCATCTGGATCATCGGGAGCTTATTTCTACCTGAGAGTATTTTTGTGATTTAAAGGTGCTTATTTAATGACTTTCACTATACTTTGAAAATATTGAGTACACACTGGAACATCAAAAAATATATAAATTGGTTTTTTTCAAATAATACATTCTTTTGACACAAAGAATCATATTTAATAAATGTTGCCAAGATACAGATGGGTGGGTATGCCATTAGAAAGAAGACTGGGGAGTGTGCATATATCACATATATTCATATGCTGAAAATATCAACAATGATGATGTCTAAAAGGAAGAATCAGAGGTGATTTTTGGTTTTCTTAATCTTCCAAATATGGACATTTGTTGCTTTTATAATCAGAGAAATAAATATAATTGATGATTAAAAGATGCATGAGAGCTTGAGTGATGACACCAATTCCCTAACACAGCCATTGGGATATAAATCATAAGGCTTTCAGGAGTTATAATTTTAGAAACCCAGGATAAAAATTGGTCCAAATAAACATTCTAGATAACCTCTCTGAAGACTCTACTTTCTTTAGATGATTTTACATATAAGCATATGGTATTATTTGATAACACTTCTGCTTCATTCTTATCATACCACACCCAAACCAACCAAACCAACCCACTGCCATTGAGTGAATTCTGACTCATTGGGAGCTTACATAGGGTTGCCAAGACGAAATATTTACAGGAGTAGACAGCCTTATCTTGATCCCATGGAGTGGCTGATAGGTTTGAACTGAAGACCTAGTGGTTAGCAGTCGAGCAGCTAGCCCACAGCACCAGCAGAGCTCCTTAATATTATATCCGCTCCTTGTTTATTGACATTGTCAGGTTCCAAAGGCCAGATCGTTAGGTAAAATCAGCGGTTATGTGAGTTGGGAGCTGCGCCCCATCTTCGGGGCTAGTGCGCCCCCTTACCTACCTCATTTTCCCACCACCAAAGAGTCCGTTGGGGGTGGGGGGCGGGTTTGTCAGTGGTGGAAGTGGTGGTCTCAAGTGTTGCCTGTCCCTGACACCTTCCTGTCCCTTCCTGCCCTGCTGCTCATCCTCTGTCCTCCAAGACTCAGAATCCTGTGTGACCCCCTTCCCTCTTTCTTCTTCCATCTACTGACCTCCGTGGCACCTTCAGGTCCTCTGCCAGCCATCCCTTGCCCACCTGCAGCTTTGTGTCGTTCTGTCATCACCCCCCCCCCAGGGGCCGCATGGAGATGGTGCACAACAAAGGGTCTTCTGTGGTCAGTTCTCTGCTGTCCCTCATGGGGCCTGCTGCTGATGCCCACAGAGGGCATCTCAGACCTGCTGAGGCTCCAGGTGAGTCCCAGACCACTGGAGGCGTGGCCTGAGAATCTTCTCCACATTGTCACAAATGTGAGACCTGATAATGAGATAAATGAGGGGCACGTGGCCTGCTTAATAAGTAGCAAGCATACACAGTGGCTTATTACACAAACCCAGTTTAACCCCCCTAACGGGCTCTATGACCCAACTTCCTCATCAATATAAAGGAGGTGAAAATAAAACCTGCCTCTGAGTTTTTGAGGATTACGTGGGTTCATTGTTCAGTTGTCAAACGCTATGGGATATTTTGTGCATGGCACACGTAACTTTCTCTATGTGTTCGCTTAATGAGATGAGAACTTGCCTTCTGCTTGTTGTTAGGGCTCAACTGAAACACCTTCGCTGGGTTTCACAGTGAGGTGCGGTCCGAGACAGGAGGCCCGAGGCAGCAAACATCAGCGGATGCGGGAGGCCACTCAAACTATCACCCCTTAGACTGGACACAGGATAACAGGAAGGAAACCATTTGATAAGGAAGGTTTGGTGCTACTTCAAATTCTCAGCCTGCCATGGCGACAACATATAACTCGCATGGCCAATTGGCTGGCACATTTGATTCCTCTGCTCATTTGATAATTCTGTTCCAAGAGGCACCTAGAGGCTGGCATGACATTTTCCTTAAAAAACAAAACAAAAACAAATGCAAACCTTAATTAGAATCTTTCTGACTCGACCTTCTCTTTCTCATGCATGTTCTGGACAGAGTGTATTTGTTCCAGAGACGAGATTAGTATTTGAGTGGAATCTTTGGATAGAAAGAGTGGCCCATTTTATATGAATGTGCATGATACTTCCTGGGAACCTCAAACGCACGACGACGATGTCCTCTGGCAGGTGTGTGGCAGCAAAGGCTCTATCTAGCCTGGGAGCTTTTCAAGAGCCAGGTTCTGCTTCGCGAAGGATGTTTTCTGGTGGTTAGGATTGTAAACCATGTGCTGCAAGCCAGGCTTCAGGGTTCACTGGCGCCTGTCAGCTCCTTCCGGGCAGGCAGACGACAGGCGGTGAACTGTCAACGCCTGGGAGGTGATTTGTACAAAAACACCTGATCCTCCTGTTCGGGAAGACGACGGGGACTCGGAGGCAGTCTTCTGGGCAGCCGAGCTACTCTCACACGCGTCTTCTCCTCCCAGCTCAGAGCCGCAGAACAGAACCGGAGGGATGACTGCGGCTGGTAGCTGACCTTGAGGCCGCTCTGTAGTCATGACAACCCCACGCCCAGCAAAAGACTGATCCACAGGGTCTTCACGGTCTGGTTTTCAGAAGGTAGCACCAGGCCTTTCTTCCTGAATCAGTCTTAGTTTGGAAGCTCCTCTGGAGCCTATTCGATCGCACAGCAACACGCACACCTCCACGGCTGCCCGCGAAGGGACCGGCTAGACGGGAACCTGGGCGTCGTGCATGGGAGGTGAGCATTTTGTCCCTGGCTCGCGCACGTCTCTTCACAGGGGAATAGCACATGCCAGTCCGCCGGTTGCTTGTGAGGACGTCTGCATGGTCCTCAACGGAACAGGCTTTCATTTGGAACTTGCAGCTTTGACAGCTCGAAGACTTGTGCCAAATCGTTTTCTACATTCTAAAACCCCCAGAGCTTTCCCGAATACTAGCTCTAGAGATCACGTCCCATTTCTTTTCCTTTTAAGAGTCAGACCCCAGATCATTTTGGTGCTGCTTGTGGTGAGGTGCTTTTCGGACCCTTTCCCCCCTCGCAGCCCTGCACGCAGAGTTGGTGCCTGCTCCCGCACCAGCCTCCTGATGGTTGCCGCGTTTGAGCCCATGGTTGCAGCGACGGTGCCGATCCATCTAGTCGAGGGTCTCCCTCTTTTGTTGCTGCCCCTCTGCTTTACCAAGCATGATATCTTTTTCCAGGGACTGGTCTCTCCTGGTAACATGTCCAAAGTTCATGAGATGATGACCCACCATCCTCTTTCAAACAAGCATTTTGGCCGTACACAGGATTGGTTGGTTTTTGGGCAGGCCATGGTATTTTCCATATTCCTCACCAGCACCACAATTTAAATGCATGGACAATTCCTCAGTCTTCCTTCGTTTTGAAAACCTACTTTCTCTCCTCCACCCCAACATACTAGAAATAATTCTTTTAGAAACAGCATTTTACTTATTTATCATTTGCCTTTTCATGCCCCTTTTAACTACAGGAATTTAAGCTCTTTTCTAATCTCCTTGTTCTTTCTTTTGGATGGTGAGCCCCATGGAGGTGTCCTTTGCAGTCTCCATGCAAAACTATTGTCACTGCTGCCTCCTCACCTGCATTTATGAGGAAACGGAATGTGTTTCTGAAGACCCGGTTTTCAAGTCTTCTAACCAGACACACTGGTTCTTCCTGCTTCCACATATTTGAAGCTCATCTCTTTGTATTTTTCAGGGGCTCTGTTCTTCTTTCTCTGGGAGGCCCACCTGCCTCTCATGCTCCCATTTGCCTTAACTCCTGCATAGAAATACATAACTGTTTTTATCCTATTCAGACTGTATAGAGAATATAATGGCTAGGGACGTCCTTCCTAGAAAAGTGCCCATTGATGTGTCTGCAGGTGCCTTGGCCTCTGCTAAGGACATATTTTATGCTCCATCCTTGAGCTACAGAGGATTTCAATAGAAATGTACCATGTAAGGAACAGATCCATCCACATTAGAAGAAAGGTATGAGGAAGGGAAGTAAGTGTAATTAGAAGATGGTGAAAGGCTCCTCAATGTACTCCCCAGCCTTTTCTGAGGCTGCTGTAACGAACTACCACAAACTTGGTAACCGAAAACAACATAGATATATTCTCTCAGAATTGTGGAGGGCAAAAGTCCCAAATCAGGGTATTGGCATTGGCTGGCCACATTTCTTCTGATCGCTCGGGGGGAGATGCTGTTGCTTACACCTTCTGGCTACTGATGGCTGTCAGCATTTCAGACCCGTGGCTGCATCATTTTGATTTCTTCCTCGGTGGCTTCTGCTGCCACCCCCTCTTCTGTTTGCCGAACATCCCTTGTGTGTTTCTAGTGGGGACCCTTGTCTTTCGATTAGAGTCCACCCAGTTAATTCAAGATAATCTGTTTATTTCAAGATCCTTAATTGCATCTGTAAGGACCCCCTTTTCATGGATAATAACAGTTTTCAAAACAATACTAATAAAAATCAAATTTACTGTCATTGAGTTGATTCCAGCTCAAAGCAACTCTGTAAGACGGAGCAGCGCAGCTCGTAGAGTTTCTCAGGCTGGAAAATTTGACAGGAGCAGACAGCCTCATTTTCCTCTGGTTGGGCAGCTGGTGGGATTGAATTGCCAACCTTGAGGTTAGCAGCCCAATGATCAACCCAAGACATCACCAGGGCACCTTGTAACATTTACAGGTTTGCAAAGGAAGGAAACAGCCTAGGCCATAAAGGTTTCAAAGACCCAACCAATCTAC